GAACACCTGGTTCCACTCTGTGGACCCACCACAGAAGGTCAAAGAATGTGCCTGCTGGCAGCAACCTAATGGCCCACGTTTTCAAGCCCCAGTGGTCCTGCTCTGACTGAAACAGAGGAAAACCCACCTTTCTTTCTCAAAACTTACCCCAAAGCCAACACGAGAATCATTCGGCTCTAGTTGTGTTGAAATAGGTCAGTGAGGCCACCTGGCATGTCTGGAAATGGTGTTTTGTGTGTGTGTGTGTGTGTGTGTGTGTGTGTGTGTGTGTGTGTGTGTGTAGTAGTGGGGGGGGCTGTCAAGCAGGAACAGGCTCTGTGATTCAAAGCTGGACGTTTCAGGAGGCGAGAGCCTTCGTGTTGTGTTTGGCTGCTAACTGCAGACACGATCCTCTTCCAATGTCTCTGATCTTCCTGCTCCTGCTCTTCCTCTGAACTCTAACTGCATGCCTGGGAACCACTGTGGGCCTCCACTAGTCATTTTATCACTGGACATAGAAACTCTCATAGTGAACACCACCGCCTACTGAGACAGGGAACCAAAGTTCTCCCTTTTCGTGACCCCTGAGCTCCCTCCCAAGGCCTTGGGCCCACTGCTTCCCAGGAAGAAGGACTCCATTTCCTCTGGCCTGGGGAGTCAGTGTCTCTCTGGTGGAGGAGCATCCTTCTTAACTTCCCTGTCCCAAATGAAGACCAGGCAGCTCCCTTCCGAGTGCCAAAGAGGTGACGTCCCCCTCTTGGTTCTGTGGCCCTAGGCAGCTTAGCCTCTCTGAGCCTCAGTCTGGGTACTTACAAACGGGGATTGATAACATTGTCCTTACAGTTTCGTTGCCACCCATTCAATGAGAGAACATATATTAAGTACCCAGCACAGGGCTTTGCACAACCAGCACTCAGTAGATATTGGTTGTAGGAATGAATGACCAGAGCTGATACCTCTTGCAGACACAGAGGCCACTCCTGGCCCTAGACTGGCAATTCCTGCTGTTACATTTGCTTGGCATTTTAGGAGCCTCTTCTCACAATTACTGCTCACTGCTGGGGGACACAGATCAGGCCCCTCCAAGACTTTTATTGGCCTGGAGCTAGTAGAAGCCACCCCTCTGAACCATTGACCAGAGGAAGGCATTTTGATTTCCGGGAGGTCTGGGGCTGGTGGATTAACTTGCCCCTTCTCATGTGCAACTTCTCTGTAAGGCAAGGCATCCAAGTCAAGATCCAAGAAGAGACCTCTTCTTTCTCCTCTCTCTCTCTCTTTCCTTCCCTCCCTCCCTCTTTAATTTTAGAGAGAATAAGGGAGAGAGAGAATAAGGGAGAGAGAGAAAGGCACATTGATTTGTTGTTCCACTTATTTGTGATTCATTGGTTGATTCTTATATGTGTCCCGACTAGAGATCGAATACACAACCTTGTTGTATCAGGGGTGACACTCTGACTGAGCTACCCAGCCAGGGCCAAGAAGAGACTTCTTGATCAAATGTCACAAGCCTTAAGGTCTTGGACAGTGGATCTGACTGGTCATGATGTTCTATTACTCGGGGAGCTTGTTCCTGCCTGGTGCTCCCAGGCCTTTGTGTAACCACAGTGTCATTCCAGAGAACACAGGATGCTGCCATGGACACTAGCTATCATCACCTGCACAGTTCAAGTGGGCTAAGGAGAGCCATCCAACAAAAGACAATACAGGCCTAATCTTGGTTCCCTCTGAGAGTGAAGCCAGTCCTCAAAACTGTTCCATGTCTGGCCTCAGGTACTATCTATCTGAGAGGGGCAGAGAATGCTAGAAATAACCCCATCAGAAAGAGATAGGAGAAAAGACCATTTTTCTTCTAAGTCCTAGCTTGAGGTTTTCAAATCTGAGGCATAAAACCATTGTGAAACAGCTTTTCTTTAAACACACACACACACACACACACACACACACACACACACAAAAAAAAAAAAACACAAAAAACTTACATTCTAATCATACATACTAATGAGACAGAATTCCAAATGCAGCTTCTCTCTCACTTTTTTTTTTATTCTGTGGTTGATCTTTTCTCTTTCCTGTTACCATTTATTTAGAATCTTCCAGTCCTTGTGGGCTGTAACCATTTTTTTTTCCCTTCTTGGATTACACTTTTCACCTTCTTCAATGATTCTCTCTCTTCATTGATGTTTCTATCTCCCTCTCCCTTCCTATCTAAAAATCAATAATAACAAAACAAAAAAAATAGGTGCAATCTCTGGGGAAGGTGACAAGAATTCAATAAATTAACTCAATCCTGGCTACTCCCTGGAAAGCTTGGATAATGTAGCTGTGGTATCCCAAGGGATAGCCCCTGCAAGTTTAATGCCAGCTGTTCAAAAAATAGACAACTTCCATCGGAATCATTCTTACAAGCTGAATTTTTATTTTTACTAAATTATCTATGTTAATAAAAAATCTGTGCTTGGTGTGGAATTTCACTCCATCAAGTGTTACAATGACTTTTCATTTTCATTACAAGCAGGAGAATGAATGAAGGACAAGTGTTAGGAAACATGGCAATAAATTAGAATATAATTTACAAAAGCAAAAAAAAAAAAAAAGTAACAGTGTACCACATTAATACTGAGTACAAAATAATAAGCAACAACTAATCACAATAATACAAAGGTAATTTCATTCTGTATTATTAAGGATACCTATGTGACATTCACTCAAATAAAAGATTCCTAATGAAATGAGCTGATCTAGGAGTCATATTTGTCTCAAGGGGTTTAATCAGTTGGGGATATTTCCTTTCAGTTTTGGGTAGGCTTTTCTGCCAGTGGCAGATACCACTCTCAGTCCCAAGGTACCAGCTTCCTTGGGGTTCCCTAAGTAGTCTATAGAGCTCACTATTTTTGGAGGGCCTACCATGGGGGCTCAGCCTCCACTGATGATTCTGTAATCATATAGGAAAAGAGCATTTGTAGCCACATGATTGACTACAGAGCAGCAGCGGTATTGTGATGTGCTGTGGAATGTGACATTTTCCCTCACTTGGATTAACTCAGGGCCTATCTGAAATGTTTAATCCTGTTACGTTCTGTGCTTGGTTCCTTCTGAGAAGGTGACCTGATACTCTGCACACATCAGAGGGCACTGCTGCCCTCCTCTTCCACAACCAATCAGGGGTGCCTGGTGCCTGGGTGGATGGCCCTTGCAATGTTCGTTTCCAAATGAGGTTAAAAAAAAAATAGCCCTTAATCAATAATGTAAGAAATCTGTTTAAATAAACATATGAGCTGATATTTATATTGGAGAAAAGCAGATCCTGATGGCAAACCTGTGCCTGAAATGCCACAGAAACCACTCATCTTTTGTCTATTTCACCAGATTAGCACCAAGTTAACTGCTCTTTGCAAAGCACCATGGGAATTCAATGCTGGGGCCACTGGCCCTCCCTTTGCTGAATGACTAAGAAGGCACCTGGGCAGCCATGAACAGGGGCCCTGACAGCAACTCTCAAGTATTGTCAACAGCTCTCCCTGGGAAGCACAGGGACGTGAGCTAGTGGGGTTGAGAAAGCATGTGATGAGAGACACATGAGCACGACTGAGTGTGCAGAACCCTATCCCATGTTGGCTCTCCACAGCACGATTGACATCTAGGTTGGCTTTTGGAGCCTGTGAGTCTCTCTTCCTTTCTGAAAGCACCAAATCACCCCCATCAAGTCATGGTCTAGGTCATACACCTGACGTGGAGTCTCAGAGCATAGTGATGGATTAAGCCAGATTTACTCTTCAACTTGCAAGTAGCACCTTGATAGAGGAACCATTTGGCTGAAGTGTGAGGTGTCAGTGTAGCATGGTGGACACACGTGTAGGACACAGAGCACATTCAACGGAACCTGCTGCAAGCTACAAGTGTTCAAGTACAACATATTCATATAAACAAGTACCCTCTTTTTCTTTAAATTTCACTGTCATGTATTTTGATGAGCGTGATGTGAAACTTGTGGATAGGGAATGTGTGAGCTAGTCAATTTAAATCAGGTGGATTTGATTCTAGAATTTGACCTGCTCAAGAAACTGGGTTTCACATTTAGTTGCTGTTCAGAACAACCATTAAAAAATTATAAAATACTTGGTTGAATGACTATTAAAAATTAGGCTTTATGATCTCTAGTCTTCATGAGTTTTTTCTTCTTTGGTTGTTATCCCTTGACTACTTTAAATCTCAGAGAAATAGCATGCTCCTCGACCCACACACTCAAAAGCACCCCCCCACACACACACACACACACATACACACACTTGCTCCCATATAAATAAATGCCCTTCTGCCATATCAAAGAAGGGACATCTGGAACCCATCGTAACTGTCAGCAACAGGGTCTGCCTGGTTGTTACTGAGCCGGTCTATCCTTTTGGCCTGGTATCGTCTCAGTCAGCGTAGTGTAGGTGCAGCCACCCAGTGGGGCAGGAGCCGTTCTGTGGCTGTAAACACAAGTGAGTTGGAGTGACTCCTGTTAAGAGCTGAGGCATCCCTGTGTGATGGCAGCAAAGGACCTGGTAGTATTTCGGTCTCCACCCACTCCCCAGGTCTGGCTTCTGCGTGACATTGAAATGTTTTTCTCTTAAAGTGTTAATGGGAATCTCAGCTTCACTTGCACAATGGCAGGCAGGCCACAGTTTTCAGCACTGAATTTATAGGCTACACAGCTGCAGTGACTGAGGCACTGCTTTCAACTAAGTCCTTCACTGTCGTTCAGCTTAATGTAGTTTTATGTATGGCTCACAGCAGTGTTCAGAACAGGGGGATTATTCCTAAGGAAATTAAGTAGAAGGAAGAAAAAAAAATCATACAAACTTTCATTAGTCTTGATTTATAATTGCTCCTTAAATTACAGGTTAAAAGCCCAGTTTAGAATTTAAAAGATGGTGATGTTGTAGTGAGATAAAGTACAGTAAATATTTTTTTTAAGCTATGATTTAAGATTTCTGAATCTTCTTTACTTCCATAGTTGACCAAGTCATACCAACTACATCTTAAACAGTTTTAAATACACATGGATTCAGTGTCATTGCTAAGTCTATAATAAAAATTATCTTAATGGTCCAAGGAGGTAAACAGGCTATTGGATTTACTCGAAAGAACACAAACGTTCCACAGTAAGCAAGTCTCCCTGTGTTGTTTGGATCTCTCCAATCTGGCATTCCCTCCCAAAACTGTGTCCAGCACTTTGGATCAATAAATCCTACTTCACAGAAGTTAAAATAATATTGAAATCCTGTCAGCGAGGGCTGACCAGTGGTTACGATTTCCACAGGGTAATGCATCTGCAAGGACATCAATCCTCTTCCTCCGGGTGGCTCCTCTGTGATGGACACATTTCCAGGATGAAATGACAAGGCTCTCTCTCCGGCTCTCCCTGGGTCACTGTCCTTGGCAGGTCTTACAACATATCTGTCTGAAGTATGCTCGATTGCAGAACTGGAACTTGTGCACCAGCGGGCAGTAAGCCACTTTGCTCACATCTTTGCACTCTAATGAATGGGGGCAGAAAATGGAAAACAATTAGAGGCACATAAACAAGGATATAAACAAGCCAACGAGCCCGGATGCTGGGCAAGGACTCCCTTTGCACCAACCCACCTTGGCTTTTGCATGCATGTGGTTTTTGTTTTTATTTTTAAGCATACCCTGTCTGGGACAGCCTACCAGAAACATTATTTTGATATATTTTAACACAAATTTAAAAAAAAAATTTTTTTTGCATTGCTTTTCTCCCAGACTTTTATAAGTATGGTGCATGCCCACTATGTCTTGAAAGAATTACCATTTGTTTGGATAAGTGATCACTTTAGACAGCTTCGAAACATGAGTCATTTTTCTTACAGCGCTTTTATTGCTTCTTTCTCAAGGGTTATTTTATTCACAGCGCAAGGTTATCCAAAACCAAACATGAGTTGCATTGTTTGATACCAAAGTACACATGTCTCCAGAGAACCTCTGCATCTGTGAGGCATGGGGCTGGGCCCGGGTGAATGAAAGGGATTGCTGACAGTGGCCTAGATTCAGCAACTACACTAGACAAAGAGGGAAACTCTGAGGGGTTGGCCTCAAATGGCAGCAGTCTGTGGGTTATGGAAACATGTAGAAATGTCTTTTTTTAATTTGGAAGTGAGACATGGCCTTCTTTTTTCCTATGTGTATTTTCTCCTCGGTGCTAGAATTGCCACAGCTGCGGCCTGCACTTCTTGCAGCCAGAAGGTGAATAAATGATTCTTTCTCCGTCTCCCCTCGAGGCTAGTTGCAGAGGATGGGGCTGAGAGCCACCCCCTACACACACACACACACACACACACACACACACACACACACACACACCACACACACACACACACACACACACATATACACACACACACATCACCCCACTGCTGCAAATAATGATATTCCTCTCCAGTCCTCTGGTCACTTTTATCTGGGGATTTTAAAATACTTTGTAAACCTAGTAATTAAATTTCCATATGCCTCCCAGAATCAAAGTTCCACCCTCATTTTTCCAGGTGGTTACACTGAAGCATCCTGGGTAAATTGTTGAAGGTAATTAGAATCAGACAGAACACTGGGTCAGGTTTAGCGGAACAGAACAGTGGCTGGTTGTTGTTGTTTGCTCTGTTTTTTTTTTTCCTGGCTTCAGAAATTCTCTAACGTTCTAAGAGATCGTGTCTATGGTACAGAGCCACATGACAAGCCTGGAAAATTAAATGCAAAGGAATGGGCAAGTTTATAGTTGTTATTATTGAAAATCACACTTTCAAGGTTCTTTCAGTGAAAGACTTAACACTTTAAACTGTAAGCCTCTACCCTCTGAAAATGTAAGCTCTGTTGCCACTGAGCTCGTACTCAAGGTTCAATTTTACAGAGAGGATACCAATTAAGACATTCAAATTAAAATTTTCCACCATAGGCTTCTCAATAAATTTAAGGTTTGGCTAAAAGCAGGTAGCAGAGGCAGAAAAGCTTTCTGTAAACATTGCACTAGAATAGAGAAATCAGTTAATAGTTGGTGTATAGAGTTTGAATTGGAGGTGAAAAGATCCCCATGGGTTTTAATTTGGAGGTCACTTATAATTTTAGTGGTTTTTTTTTCTTTTTTTTTTTTCCCCTTTTCCTCTCTGTCATGACCTTCCAGAAGTATCCTAAGAAAGTTTGGACTAAGAATATTTTTTGTGTGCAGAGACCGGTTTGGCTCAGTGGATAGAGCGTCGGCCTGCGGACTGAAAGGTCCTGGGTTCGATTCCAGTCAAGGGCATGTACCTTGGTTGCAGGCACATCCCCAGTAGGAGGTGTGTGCAGGAAGCAGCTGATTGATAATTCTCTCTCATCGATGTTTCTAACTCTCTATCCCTCTCTCTTCCTCTCTGTAAAAAACCAATAAAATATATATATATTTTTTTAAAAGAATATTTTTTGTGGAGCATATTGTCCAGGTAATGCAGTTATTCCAGGGGTGAGGAACGCTGGCACAACTCCCCGCATCGTCAGTTCCAAGCTACCATCCTTGTGGGCAGCCCGCCTCGGAGACTACTGCGCTCACGCTCCACAACAGGGAGCTGCTCAAAGTACCAAACACACTTTAGCGTTGGCCTTCCTTGCCAAAATATAAAAATGATTTAGTTGATAATCAGATAGAAGAAGACTGGTTGTTTTAATAGTACAAGGAAATAAAATTAGAAGCCAGACTTCCTGGGTTTAATCCTAGTTTTATCATTTACTAACTTTATGGCTCTGAACAAACCACTTAACCTCTCTGTGCCCAAGGTTCCGCATTGTAAACAGGGGTGACAAGAGTGCCCACCCCCATCTGGAACAGGATGTGCTATTGCCTAGTGCAGGGAAAGCCCTCGGGAAGTGTAGAATATTGGATTACTGTTACTGTGGCCACTGTTAGCTACTATCTCTTACTGCCTGATGACAGTGAGTGGCGCTCAATGAGGATGCAACATTTAGATTGCTACCGAGAAAATGCTGTTCTATTGGCACATGCCAGTTTGCAGACCAAACAAAGAAGAATATTTCCTGGGAATATATACAACTTTAATGGGAGACTCATTACTCCATTTTTGGAAGAGTGGCTGCACAGGAAACTTCACAGATTTTTTTTCTTTTCTTTCAGATTTAGACTTTGAATTCTGATTCAATAATAAATAATAAATGCCTGGCCAGTGTGGCTCAGCAGTTGAGTGCTGACCCATGAACTAAGAGATTGCCAGGTGGATTTCCAGTCAGGGCACCTGAATGGGGTGCAGGCCTAATCCCCAGTAGGGGGTGTGCAGGAGGCAGTCCCTGGGTGATTCTCTCGCATTGATGTTTTTATCTCGCTGTCCCTTTCCTTTCCTCTCGCTCTAAAAGTCAATTTAAAAAAACATATAAAAACAAAAATAGATACAGAGGCAAAGAAGTATTGAACAGATTGTCAAACTGCAGCAGGAAGACAGGAGAGGGTTGTGGGGGTGATTTGGAGATCAACCAAGGGACTTGTATACGTGCATATAAGCATAACCAATGGACACAAGACAATGGCAGGGAGAGCGGAGAGGGCAGTGCCAGGGGGTAGGGGAGGCTGCGGGGAGGTCAATGGGGAAAAAGGAGACATATGTACTACTATTGATGAAAATCTATTCACCGAAACTCAACTATTAACTGGTCTTTTATTATCTCGGCCTTTTCACTCCACAAGAGTTTAACCTTGTAATAATAACATTAAAAATAATTTGCTAAAGGCCTCCTAAGTGCCAAGCACTGCCTTAATCCTTTTACATATATAGAACATCAGCTTTGCACAGATGGAAAAACTGAAGCTCAAAAAGGTTAAGAAACTCATGCTGGGTCACACAGCTAGTTGGTCTAAGAACTGGGACCAAAACTCAGGTTGGTCTGATTCTGAAATCATCTACTTTGGCAGCACTCTTGGTATCTAAACGAAAAAAAGGTTTCTGCCTGTCAGTGCTTCTGTGTTCTCCACTGATACTACTGATGATAAGTGAACCTTTGGGTACACTGTCAGGAGGTCTGCACTGCCACCTTAGAGAAGGGGAAATGTTTTTGAAAGAGGTTCTAGGTCACAGGCATTCAAAATAGCCCAATACTTTTCTTCAGCTATTCCTTTATCCCTAACTGTTGTGAAATTATGTGAGTTAAAGGTGATTTGAGACACACCAAGAAGCTTTCTGCCTGTCACTACAGAAAGCTAAATGATCTTAACAATGTTAGTATTTAAACGATATGGGTGTGGTCAGCCCATCTGTCACTTTCGAGCTTAGTGAGAGGATGGATTTGTTGAGCACTTGGAATAACTAACTCATTGACATTTGCTGATTTTGAGAGGCCTTAATTATAAAACTTACTATTTACTAGTGTGTCACATCCTCAAAGCCCACTGAAAATACAAATAGTCTTTTTACACTCACCCGTGAGCCACTACACAGCTTACAATGATGCTAACACCATTCTGGAAGAGTTAATAAATCATATTTTCCCACTGACCATGAAACAACAGGAAAGTTCTGCTTTAATTTCTAAATGATCTTTAGTTGGCATAGATTTCTAGCTAATATCTAAAAAGTAAAAGTCTCTCTATACCCAAGTAATACATGATCTGAAAATAATTAATTAGACTAGGATATCTGTTGAAAGAAATCCTTTAGTTGACATAGACTCTTTTGTAATAAAATATCTCTGTAATTGATGTATTTTGAAGATTGGGTCTTTACTATCCTATTTTCTTCATACAATACACATATGTCAACTGCTTTTTAAGCAGTGGATTCTGAGCCAGGAGGGTCAAGGATGTTAAGATGAAGGAAGGAGCCTGATTTCCTCTGCTACTATCACCATACAGCTAAGTACTTGCCTTTTCTTGTGAGGCTGGTGAAAGGGTGAGAGGTCCTTACTGTGTGGTTTCTACGAAATATTTTGCTGATCTAGTCTCTCCTTTTAAGAAAAACAAAACATATAATCACCCCAATCCAAAAATAAAGTGTCACTTTACCCATGGCCAGAGACTTCTGATGGGAATGACAACTTAAGAAGTATTTCTAGCCCTAACCAGTTTGGCTCATGGATAGTGTCAGCCTGAGGACTGAAATCAAGGGCATGCACCTTGGTTGCGGGCGCATCCCCAGTAGGAGGTGTGCAGGAGGCAGCTAATCAATGTTTCTCTCTCTCTATCCCTCTCCCTTCCTCTCTGTAAAAAACCAATAGAATATATATATAAAAGAGTATCCCTAAATTCTTCGTCCGGAGGCTTGGGAATATACCCAGGAATAAAAGCCACCCATTAGGCCCTGCAATGTGAACTAGAACCATTCCTATAATCTTAAGTAACTTGCCAGGTATCCTGGAGTGGGTCTCCATAGTAATCTGGGTTTTGGTAGAATTGAATAATAAAAATTAGACAACGTGTTTCACAGGCAACACATGACTCTACTTATCATTGATATTCCAGTGGGTTTTTTCCCCCAGGTGCTTTACATTA